ATAAGATTTCCCATAGGACCCATCCATTTTCGACAAAAACACGGCATTAGTTCGCAACTTACATTACTTGTAATCAGGTTGCGAGCTCGGTCCCGCTCTCCCACGTTGTCGTTTGTGACGAAATATCTATTCTTCCAGTCGATGTCACGAGCCAAGGGAAATTACTTGCGAGGAAATTTTGTAAAGAGAAGGAGCGCTTTGCGAGGACGCCTTATTCTCGTGATTTTTACACGCGTGTGCCGTAGATTTATCTGGTAAAGTCCTGATCAAGCAGTGAAGGAAGGCCTACCATAGCTCGGGCTTCTCTCCGGAAAGGTCGTTGTTCGCTTCCAGGATAGTTCACCTGGGATTTGCGGTGGACAAAGTTAGGTTTCTTTTCTCCAAGTCCTTAGGTTTTACCCTGTCAGTATCATTTCACCGCTGTTCCATATTTACTCTTGTATCATCTAGGGAATGAACAAAGTTCCCGTTAGAGAATCAGTTCCGCGGAGACACATAATGTCACCCCACAAAGAATCTAGGAAAATGGGAAGGGATTTAAAATACAAATAAAATCAGCGAAATAAAAGAGGACGGACACGATTTACTTGTATCGTGATTATAATATTCGCCCTACGAAATTTAGCTTGCGCGAACTTTACGACGAAAATCATACCATCCTCCGCTCGGTTTGTAATCTGAACGCGAACTCGCTTGTCCGAAATCTTCCGACACTTCTTCGAGACACTTGAACCCTCCATAAAGCCCTTCCAGATCCCCACCCAACACAATCCTCCTATCTAATGATACAGAAACCTGAGTGTCCTGGTGATTGTAATTTTAGTTAGTTGTTCCTTGATTACTCGATAAGTTTGGTTTGTTAATTAGCCAGTTAGTGACTGAACACTTAGTCATTTTACGTGTTTCGCTAGTTGATTCGTCAGCGAAGCGACTCTCCGCTCAGCCGTGTATGTCTGTGAGGCTTTGTTATGTTCCAAGTTGACTCGGAAGATCACGCAGACTACGTCCGGAGACGTCAACACATATCAACAATTGAGACCACGTCGCCATCTCGAAGCCTGCTGCAACAGGGTCTTCCTGCAGCCGCGGGGGGTAGTTCGGCCTACGCGGGTTATTGTACCCTGCGCAACGGCATGCCCCTTCAGGACCTCAACAACATTGGGAGCAAACCGAAAATGGTGAGAGATGGTCATCGAGAAATTACCCTCCTGTGGAACCTCAAATCTTCGCTGCCGTGTTTATAAAACCATTCCACTGGACGCCGTCTTGTTATATGCAGTTCTTATCACTCTCGTGCTTGCTACATTCCCCGCCCATCTCACCTTCCTTGATTTAAACGCTGTAACAGTTTTTGTTGAAGACTGTCCTTCGAAAACATGGCGAAGTTTAAATGTTCGTAAACGATAGTAAGAAGATGACATTTCCGTTCAGGAAGAAGTACGAGCAGATTAAATTTGCGTAATTAAAAGTCAGGTAGTAATTAGAATTTTATAGGATATTTTCGCACAAAATCTCATCAATAATTGAACTTTATAAAATTACGTGAGCGCATTCATAGAGAAGGAATGTTTCAGTATGTTTTATAGAATATTAGGTTTCCTGCCAGTTTCCAACGATCCATTAAACCCACTTAAATGGCTTCTTTCGTTATGAAACTCCCTCAAGTTACGGCTTACGAATTAACAAAATTGTAAAAGAGTCGACACAGATACGGTATACAGAAAATGAATTTAATTAGGGTTGTCCAATTTATAGACTGCCTGCTGATACATTTTATGGCCACGAACATAAACATTACGCGGAAAAGGTGAGCCAGGCATTAATAATGATCTTATCATACAAAATCTCACTGTCTGTTTACAAATGCGTAGAAAATACATGTATTTTGGCTATAATGAGTTCTATATCTTATTTGTGTCATTTGAAGTTATGTTACGTTACGTTACGTTATAGTATATTTATTTACAATGTACCCTTACTTTTAAATACGATGAAATCGAACATTTTTCAAATATTATACGCGAAAATGAATGTCTGTGTTATTTTTATATTTATTTATTTTTTATTTTTTTTACATATTTCTCGTACGTCACAACATTAAAATATGAAAAATAAATATTACAGTCCGCAATGCAATCTCTAGTTTGTGGTGGCGCTAATTTCCTACACGCGCTATGGACCGTTTCTGACAAATATATTAGATTGTATTTTGGACTCGTGCGAAGTACGTGTTTTACGCTACGCGTTGCCAAGGACGCGTCTAACGGCTTCCGGAACTCGGTAGCATAAAGCGTCATTAAAGTCTGAATGCGATCAGTGGTTTCGGTCATTGAACGTGCTGGCGGAAAGACCTCGCTCCGTGGCACAGAGCTTCTAACTCGGCTTAGACTCAGCTGATCGCCCGAGAAGATGTTACTGCATTCGTTCGCCGTAAAAGCTTCAAGACTGTCAAACCTGCTTCTTACTCAGCTGACCAAGGATTCTCCCGCATTGTAAAGAAATATAAATGTCCAAAGCCATGTTCCTTCCTTCCTTCCTTCCTGCCTGGTGGCGTTTATTCTTTATATTTATTTCGTTCGTTTCGTATTTTTCGCCATTTTCTATAAACTCGCATTGCCGTAAACATAAAATTCCCACAGCGTGTGAGGTTTGAGGTTCTCACGGATTGCGAAAACACGGATGTTGGACTTTGCGTTGTAACTCCGTGTGGATTCTGTGGGTAGATACCAACCTCAGTAATGATATGATCTCCAGTTCTGAAGATGGAAGCAGTATAAGTCTCCGAAACGTCGATGTCTACCCACGAGTCCACACGACTGTAGAGTCTAAAATGCCAACATTGACATACCTTTTTCTGTTCACATTTTCCTTACAGGACTTTAAATAACAATAGGCCACCACGTACTTTCGTGGTACCAAATATAGACGACTTCGGGTTCGAACCCATAAACCTCTGGCTTCTATTCTGACGCACTGTTAAACTAATGTGAGGAATGTCGCGTTAAGAAATTTCCAAAGTCGAATTTCCTTCGAATTACGACGCTCAAGTGAAACGTGGATGTAACTAAAGCCCCTCCCCACAGTTAAAGGCTCTTTTAAAACGAGAACGTGTGGAAAGAGCAGAGTTGTATTTGGGAGCCGTATCCAGTTCTCTAGCCAGCAAACCATGGCTTCGTGCTTTCGCTACGCAAAAATCAATACTGGGAGACCAGGCTCCAGGCATTCTCTCCTCCAGTACAGAGAGAGAGACAGAGAGAGAGAGAGAGGAGCTATAGTGACGTAGAGAGCTCCAGGGTTTGGCCCTTGAGCATCGCCCGCCCTCCCCCTCCCCCTCATCTCTTCGTTGCGGCATCCAGACCGCAAGATACAAAGGTGTGCTGGGCACGGGAGTCGAACCAAGTACCAAAGGCTAAATGAGCACTGTGAGGAACCTGATAAAATAAAATACGCATTTTTAGTCAGTCATTTTAAGACAGATCTTAATGAGTGCGGTATTCGTGATGCATGTTTGAATGACGTCTTTACGTAATCACGATACTAAATGTGGTTTTTAAACAGATTAATTAGAACAAATCATTTTGATATTTCATAGATGGGCCGTACGTGTAGATTTGGATAAAGAATTGAATTATGACATAAATAAAATAAGAGTGTAGGCTAAGGAAATTTTATAATAAGATTTATGTCTACTGGGTTTTTGCGCTGTGTTGTCTGGTCGATGTTTATAATACTTTTACCGCGTTGTCATCTTACCCTTGTCTGAAGTCAATAGTCTAGTAGAAATTAACCTACGCTTAAGAGCTGGTTACTACCTCCACGAACAGAACTATTACGCGATCGTCGTCCTGCTGTTGGGGATTAAAACACCTCTGAAATGTCGGCAGGTTTCTACTATACTAGACTCTGTAACATCCGAGGAGTCAGTTATTTTCATACTTGTCGCCTAGACCAGTGGTATTCAACCTTTTTTGTTCGCGTACCCCCAGATATAATTTCTCTTCAACTTTGTACCCTCAAAGTTGTTGGTGTATAATTCAAGTTATACATAGTATATAATCTACATCTAAAATAAATTAAGTAAATTACATTACTGATTATTCAGTGTTTATCATAAAATAATAATTTTTTTTTTTAAATTTCACGTACCCCCTAGGATGTCATCGCGTACTCCAGGTTGAATACCACTGGCCTAGAGAACCTGAAATTCCATCTTTCAGTGCCCGCGTCGAAGTATTAACTCTGTATGAGCACGAAGACAAATGACGCAATGCAAAGTAGCAGACTCTTTCGATTCTAGAGTGGTGCTGATGATGGTGTGTTCTCAGAAGCCTGGCGGGGAAGGTCCATCGTACCAGCCCTCTGGCTGTACGCTACCGCGCCAGCATTGGCCCACGTACGCACCAGGTGTCCGGCACCATCAGCAGGTGCCAGGGGGTCCCATGTGTTCCACGTCATATCCAGTAGCGTCACTGCACCACCACTCAAACCCCCACCTGCCCCTCCAGGCCCCTCAGCTGCCACCCGAAGCCTCAACATCGACGGCCACTGGAGTTATCAAATCTCAGAAGCAACCCCTGCTATTGGCGGGACCTGCGCTGACTGAAGAAGACCACGCAACAGCGGAAACCCCTCTCATGGTCACTAAACGGGAAAGTACTGTCTGACTAGTGACGAAGTTGTAAAATTATTATTTTACAACTCCGAGTGTAAGACAACATTTGCGTGTAGTTTGACCGGAAGTGCGTTAAACTATGCACATGCACATTTTTTAAGAGAAATTTTATATCAAGTGTCCTTTTTTAATCATAACAGCCTACTAAATGACATTTCGTATAAAATGGAACGTGGATTTAAAATACGATGTTGCTAATGGTGTGTGACGTAATATCAAAGTTATGAGTGTTTTCGTTTTGTCTGCCGTGAAAGAGAAAGACAACATGGAGGAGCCCGTCTCAGATTTATCGGCGCTCTCAGAACTAATCGATTGAACGAAAAATTCGAATCAACGAAACAAAGACAAAGTCTATATATGAAACATTTAACTCTTTTAAGTGTACAAAGGGGTGAGATTTTTTGTGTTTTAAAAATACTCATACAGCATTCCTTCGAATATTTTCATTTGCACCTAATTGTTAGTGTGGAAATAAAAATAACCTTGGACTTTTCAAGAATCAACTCAAGAATCGTGAGGTTATTATAATTATTTTTTTCCAAATATTAAAATTATTAAATTAAGATTAATTCCAAAACAAGTGTTATCTTTGAATGGGATTATTTTACCAATTCCTATGAGTTTCACCTTAAACCCATAGACTGGAAGAACTTACCGATAATCAAAATCGGGAACCAACCACGTAATTTTATTTTACGTAAAATCAAAGAACTTAACCGGATTAAGTTTTCTCCGTGGATAATGGAATACGTTCCAGCCACCTTACTCCCATGGAACGCGATCCCGCTACCCATTCGCAGGGTATGTTTGGCAAAGAGACAAATTTCAGCCCCTGAGGAGAATCGAACCTCGAGTCTCCAACCCGTAGTTAGTAGCTTCACCGTCCCTTTAGCCAAAACTGGGACCCTAACAACATTAGGACTGAGCTGTTCTGTAATGGTGTCCTATCCGCAAGGTTTAATTTTACAGTAAGAGAATTCGTTCTCTTAGAAACTGTATTCGTTTGTGATCTGTTTATAAAAGTTCTGTTACAGCTGAAGGGAATGCGTATTTCTTATCGCTCGAAACATTCGTAAAAGAAAACACATGTTGCAAATGATGTATCACAAATATATACCCCTGTGTGCAGAATTCTTTTTTGCGGGCGGATGGCTTCGAGTTCAGAGTTGTACAATGCTGCCAACAGAGCGTGCGAAACGCATTTTAGACACGCTATTGAAATTTTGAAGGAGTGTTCAGCTGTGTGTGTCTTGACGGCTGAAGTGTTCCAAATGCGATGTTCTACGCGGTCCTGTGACCACGAAGAACTGTACTCCGAGACGGTTTATAAACATTCACAATAACAGCGTTACCCGGCGTCCTTCGCTCGCAGAGGTCCTGAAATATCAAAGTCTTAGGTTAATTTGCTGTTTTGGCTCCACGCTGTGTGTCTGAAACGTCTGTACGAACTTCGTACAGGAAAACAATACGTAACGTTAATACGAACGTGTTTACAAACGTATCCTTGTTGACTTTCAGCCTAACAAAGGATTCCTTTTGGCGAACGTTTCAGCTACCCCCAGCGTCAGTAGTTATGAGTTTTCGTGGTGAATAAGTTTTCTGGTCTACTCTGCTATGTAACACTGCGTGCTGGTACATATAACATTTCTGAAACGTCGTTAAAATTTCAAATACAGCTTGTGTAATGTCGGATGATATTGAGAAATATCACGAATTGTGTGTCAATCGAGATCCTTTCGAAGATATCCCTGCGTTCGTCTGCGGATACTGAGTAAAACTATGATACGCGGTAGCTCGACCGGGATTCAGATCAGGTGCGATGCTGCATGGACCGATATTACTTCATCTGTTCCCATTTGTCTTAAGAGTTTTACCTAAATTCAATTAATATGCTTAGACGTGACGTAAGAGACGCTGCTAGCCACGGAACACTCAAAATGCAGAATTCTCTTCCCGGTTTCGAGGCATTTAAGATACGCATTAAAAGTTTACTACGTTTACCTTTGAAACATACAACACAATTCAATTACACCGAGCGAGTGTAGGCTTGCTCATTTAGTTAAGTATAAGCCAAGCAAAAACCTCCGCTAATGCGATTTCTAGGCGGTAGCAACGCCATTATTTTTGTGCAGAATACCACCTCGGAGTTTAGTAGACATGTACAGTTTACGTAAAATAAACTGCAACACTTAGACTTAAGTTTCTGTCGCAACGCGTAAATGCGTTCTATATAGTGTACCAATGTTTTCCTCAGATCTGGAAATACGTGCTCAGATTTAGTGAAATTTATTCTTAAATTTGTTCTTTCAAATTTTCCATATCGTATTGGCATCTTATGTGTTCGTGTTGCAGAATGAATCCAGATGTTAAAAAACTGCTAATTATACTAAGTATAATCAGAAATTATTTTCCCATTTTAGTTATTTAAATATTCACCACTTCGATATTTTCAAATAGAGTAATATTTATTTTTACTTTATTCAACTTATAATCTTTGACCCAGCTGATTATTAAATTAATTTTAAAAGTTCGATTGCTGTACTGATTTGAACCGCAGTTAAATTTTGCCAAATTTGACCAAAATATTAAATATTATATAAATTATTTTCGTAGTCTCGATTATGAAACATGTATAAATACGCGACCTCTCAATGATGTGCTGGACGGATTTAGGTTAAATTTGATATTGGCAGGATCTGCTCAAGAATTGAACTTCATTTTGGTGAATTTTAGTTTTGACTTAATTAGACTTTTTAGAAGTGACTCATGATACAAAAACTTTTTACATTATTAAATAGGGATCTTGTTATTTTTATTTGAAAAATCTTTATAATAATTAATAATTAACCAAAAATAAGTTAAAGTGTGTTACTGTGACATCAATAGCGCGGTCAGCTTTATTAGAATTAATTTATACCCTCAGTTAACAAACTTCGTTGCCAACGAGGTATTTAAAATAACAAAAGCATGCATTTTGACTTTCTAATACAATATCTGACCCTTATTTTTATGTCTATATGTGTCTACTTTTCTGATTAGTATTTTTAGCGGTATTAGTAATAATATTACGTAACAGAATTGCTAAGATCATGGTGTTTTACTTTTCTTTTCCGGAGCTGTATCTCTAAGAAACTATTAAGTGAGAGTGTATTGGCAGCAGTGGTAGCAACAACATTGTTTCAATTTGTGTAAAAGTTAGGAAACACAGAAGATGGCCGCACTGAAGAGGCTGCAGGATAATGAAATTATCCCACGAAACCACGGAGGTAAGCAAGTTAGCATACGAGAAAAGATTTGCTGTATAAATAGTCAGTAAAACAAGTAGGAAGAGGGCGGAAACGTCGTTGTATTAAATGGAAGACTTGCTGCAGAATACGTACACAGAGAAACATCGTCTTTCAACGCACTACTTACTTTTCTAATTAAACTCTTGAACTCGGAGCGGAATTTTTTTTTTGAAAAGTGGAGCTTACACTTGTCAGGATTCCCATCATGGTAGCCACATTTATACTCCGGGTTGAGAAATGTTTCAAGTATGGAAAAATTACGGAACAGGGGCTTCAACCAATCCGCGAGCTACTTTCAACAGGTCAAATAGAAAACAGTTTTCACAGTTGAATTACTTCTCGTGTTCGTGTGAGAGAGACGGAGAGAGATGTAATATTCTTCTTTCTTGTGTGTACGTACAAACAAACACTGGGATATATTCCCCTTCTGGGATGATGGAGGCAGCAAACACGTCCGAAACGTCGGTGAGCTTCTACCAGATAACACGGTGAAATATCCCTGAAGACAGTCATCTTCATACTCGTCGCGTGAGAATCTGATGTCTCACCTTATTCAATTTATTTACAGATAGATTACACATGAACGTTTTGACTGTCTCGCATTTGTAGTCTTCGCGAAATGATTTTGTAATAATAAAATGAAGGGAATTGAGTTGAATGGTACATGTAATTTTGTGGCTAGCTGAGCGACGTTAGTTCGGCATATAAAAATATTATAAACCGAAATTTAAATAACTTACAATATTGGCTGCAACATAATACAAAATGTTTCGTAAAGAGCCTGTTTCATTACATATTCCTGTGCATTCTTTACGTTTTGTTTCTAATTTCCTTTATTAACCTGATTCCTTATTTTATAACTTGATGAAGCTTACAGTGTTATCATATCCTTGTTAGTGTTAATGACCGTGTGTCAGCCGCTCTTGAGAAACGTTTGTGAAAATCACATATCATCATCGAGTACGCATAAAATGTCATTCCGATTTTTAAACAAATATTAGAATCATGCATTTATAATAATGTAAAACAGCTCGACATTTAATCCTCTCTTGGCACTGTTCGTGTCTCTGTACTCTGTTAAATGTAACTACTAATATCCGTGGCAAAGTTTTCTCCAGTGGAGAAACGAGCAGATGACACTCTGAATCCGTAGCTGTAGTCTAAACTTATTTGTCTTTGTTGTTTTTTATTATAACGAACACATTTGCTGACACGTGCTACGTTGTTTGTTTGTTGTTGTTTTTTTTTCCTGTCTAAATAACACGTGACAGGACTCGACAGACTGACAGTCGCCCCTACTTCCGGCGTCCAGAGTTAGGGGATAATTCCTGTTCTGTCTTCATCGGTCTACTTCCTGTTGTTCCATTTCATTTGGTAAATGAAACAATAAAGATGTTGCATTCCTAGAAAGAAATAAGATTCTTAATTTTTCTTGCTTACTGCATCCTTTTCCAAGGGATGCAAGGAGACTTCATTTCTGTCCTCACCGTCGTTATTGAATTCTTGATCCCTTGGTTTAACCTGTTTACAAGGGAAATAATTCCAGATTTTAGTCTGTTTCAAAATACCAGTGCTTTCCAAGGAAGCACTGGTATTCTTTATTCACGATTTTCGAGAAAAGAAATCTGCCACTGGGAATAGATTGACTTTAGGTTCCCCGTGGCCAGTGGATACCAGGAGTTCTTTCTCTGGAAGTACTCACTCCCCTCTAGTGCCAAAGTTAAGAACTGGTGATACTCCGTGCTACCTCGACACGTTTTAATGGCATCGTGCTTTTAAAAAATCGCCTTTTACCTGATTATCGTCCTCTTTATTGTGATGACGTATTTTTGTATGTGTTTCCAGCCTTTCGGATTAGCGTATCGTTTCCATCTTCGGGTTATAAGGGAATGTCGGTTTCAAAAATCATTCGCTCGGTTGGTAACATCAAGTCTGTAGCAAACGTCGTTCCTAAAATTCAAAAATGAGACTCTAATATTGTTAGAACACGGTATGGACGGCCACATTGATGTCTCTCTGAAGACTTGTAAATTCTTCATTGCATTTCTTGAAGTAAAATTGCGTCGATCGATTTCCGATAACTATTACGTCGGATTTAGTTATAAATCTAATCCAATTTCCTTGTTAGCAAGCAATCTGCCCCAAAGATTGCATTTTCACGCGATAAATAAAAAAAGGAGAAACGTATATTCTATTTACTTTTCGTTTTCCCCCTTTGCTGCTATGAATTTTCCCTCCCGTCAAGAAAATACATTGCACGAGAGAAACCAGCATACACTCAATATTATTTTCCTCCCTGCTGTTTCCTTACATTATAAACACCTGTTAGAACCTGCAGTGTCTCTTTTATTATCTGCTGGATTTATTATAATCACTGCATTACCTTAAGGGATGAAGTTTTTGAAGTATTTGTGTACATAAATAAAATCTCATTACACAAAAATATATTGAATGTGCTAGACAGATTGATGTTTTTGTTTTCTTTGAATGTTTTCTTATTAAACACGGGAACAATGCAAAGAAAAACTGAGTTTATCAATTTTCGTTTTCCCGTCTCTTATTTTTCCTTCTTTATTTCCTTCGTTGTGTTTGCCTTATTCTTACTGCAGTCCTCTTTGCTATCAATGTAGGTTGTGTGTGGACCATTCTGAACCGGTCTCAATATGCTTCCGGGCCGGTTTTATAATTTCATCTCCTTAACTTGTCCAAATTACCTGAAAAATGAAATGAGTGTTTCGTAGTGTTCGAGATTTAAAATTAATTACGTAATATATCTAATTTTATGAGCCGGGATAGCTCAGTCAGTATAGTGACTAGCTATGGGCTGGACGACCGGGGTTCGATGCCCGACGGGGGCAGAGGGTTTTCCCTCTAGCCTCTGCGTCCAGACCGTCTCTCGGGCCCACCCAGCCTCTCTACATTGGGTACCGGGGGCCTTTC